TACAAAGTCTACAGTTATGTTGAAATGAAATTGAATTATTTGATTTAGAAACTCAGAAATATGTTTGCTTTGAATTCTTGGATTCCTCGCATTGGCTGTGCAGGCTCCAGCCCACAGTAATGCCAGGTGGATTCATTGCTTATCATTATGGCTCTCAGCCAGTGGCGTCGCCTGGCCTGGGCATTAGCCCCGAATGTTTTTTCTGTAGCCCCGGACAATTCTCCCTCAATAATATAATACATTAACCGTGCTTTACGTGAACCTCATCATGACACGAGAGGACGGCAGCACTGTAATTTCCCGTGTTCAGTGAATGCAACAGAGGCATGACACCAGACCAATCAGAGAGTTGCATGGAAATAAACGTGTGCTTGTGTCATTCAAGCTCGGCTCTGTGTGTGTGTGGCAATAGCGCATGTGAGAGAGAGAGAGAGAGGGAGAGAGGGGGAGAGAGAGAGAGAGAGAGGGACCGGTGCCAGCAGGGACCGTGTTGTTAGCATCTGGTTAGCTAGCTGCACTAACGGACATAAGGAGCTGTTTGTTCCACAAGAAGCTGGAGGAGAGTCGTCTCCTCTCAGACTGAGAGACTCAGGTGAGCTAAAGGACTCTCTGAGTGTTTAGATAGTTAACTTTAGTCTAAGTTATCTCAGTGGGTCTCAAACGGTTTGGTCACAAATTATTCAAAAGATTATTTCCGCGGCACACCTTCATATGATCATTATAGTTATAAAAAAAATAAGAGAATAAAGGAAAAACAGTTATGAAATACTATATGACAGTAAAACAAGAATAGAGTTTAAAAGGGGAGTGATTAGTAAAATATCCATAAAGAAAAAGTACATCTGTTTACAGTTCTGCTTCATATGGGTGTTGAGAGAGGTATCCATAGATCTCTTCATTTTGCTCTCAAAGTGCACCAGATTGATGCATTTAACTTCAATATTTAAAAAAAAATCTTCCCGGGGGAGCATCCCCCCCGGACCCCCCTAGAGGAGGTGAGGTCCGCCCCCACTCACAAAAAATACCACTTTACCCCTGCCTATATGCCGTGAGCTGATTATCGAGCCTTCATTGTAACAGTCGCGGGTGTACTGTGTGTGTGCGTGTGGGGAGTGTTGCAGTAAAAAATGCCACCGTAGTGCCGCCGCCACTGTGGGCTAAGCCCCGAATGTTTTTAGGTCCAGGCGACGCCCCTGCTCTCAGCAGATGGTGCTCCTTCACTGACTGAATACTCTTTACACAAGCCGGACAGTCTATCCTCAGCTGACTGGAGAGACTTAAAAATGGCTTTAGGCAACTTTAGACACATAAGCACTTCTTTGTGATGTTGGAAGATCAGACTTTGACTTTCTTCTGAAAAGCAACAGATGAAAAGACTGGGATATGAAACGAATTTCAGATGTTTCACAATCGAATAACGGTGATACATTTATGAGATGTATTTTCAATTGAATTACATTTTTTGAATACACTATAGAAGACTTGGCTATGGTAGGTTCTGCCATAGATAGCTCCATTGCTACTGGTCACTATAAGAATTTGATCAATTTGGACTGACAACATCTGTAGAGTCTAGATGAGCCCCATGAATGAACTACTCAATCCCCATTCAAGTCAGCATGGGGCTGACAGCATGACTCTGTGGTGCCTATAGAATATTTGATATACTACCTTTAACAACGTCACCCTTTCTGATAATTGTATAATGTAAACTGTAATACATTTTAAGATTTCTTTAGGCTTTTGTCTTGGGAAGAATAGTCTTTTAACTGTAAATTAAGCATTATTATACCCTTTCAGAGATTTTGAACAAAGGGCTGAACAAAAAGACTGTTGCTTGGCTGTGGGGCTGTAGGATTTACACCCACACTTTCCTGTACTCTTGCCAATTGTACCCCTGTCCCTTCATTTCTCCCCAGGAAGCAGACTTTTCACTGACAAGCCCCCTGGGAGTGTAAACACCAATTTAAGAAAAACACAGGTTGGTCCCATGTCCGCCTCTTTCTTTTCTTTTTTTATTGAAAACTGTTTCACCAGTTTTCTGTTTCTGACAGAACTCCTGAAGGACAAGCTTTCCGATGAAACAAATGGTCTGGAAACGTCTCATCAACCATACTGAGAGATGTGAACACGGTGACAGACGTTTCCCAAGGACTGTCTGTTCATATACAAAGTGTGGTTGAGGCTTGGCTAAAATCCCTTTGTGAAGGTTCTGATCGTAAAGTTGAATGTACTGCATTAGCATTGAACAGGTTGCTTAGGCAGCTAGAAATGAATGTGGCACTATTTGCAGCATTCTGCTACCAAATACGTCATTTTCTTCCCCACCCTGAATGAAAAACAAACCTATTCTTATCATTTCCCCTCTCATTTTACGGATCCAGCTCCCACCCACTCCTCCCCATTTGTCATTGGTCCTGATAATAATCCGTTGTCAAAAGCAGGGGGTGTATTCTGTAATAAGGGGTATTAACCCCAGAGGGAACAGCTATTATCACGGTTCGGAGGTTTTAGAGCAAGCATGTTCATGAGGACAAAGGGAGAATAGCAAAGAAGAGCCAACCGACAGCACCTTTTCTTGAAAACGACTCTGACTCACACAACATCTGTACAAAGGATTTGGAGGGTTTGTGAGTCCTTGAACTGTTATAAGAAATGTTTGAATGTGACAGAACAATGTTGATTTATTCTGCTTTAGGAGGGGCTGAATCAGTTGGTAAACATTTAAATATTTAACACCACAGGTGTTGCAGTTATCGGATTAAAATGTGAGGCTCAGTTATGGGAAGATCCTGGAAAATGGAGGTGTCTTTAAAGCTAAATTACTGTGCAAAGTCATGTGTGCATCAAATGTTAACTTATTTATGAAGCACTCTCTGCATTTCTTGCTTGTTGTCTGGCTCTTATTCTCACTCATCTCATTATTTCCATCACACATAAACCGACACACACACACACACACACACACACACACACACACACACACACACACACACACACACACACACACACACACACACACACACACAAGCAAAGCAGCAGTGAAGCAGGAGGAAAAAGCTCTTGTCATTAATGATTTCTTCTTCCCAAAATGCTCTTCTTTCTGTTATAGGAGTCCTCTGCACCACTACTCTGCCTGTCTGCTTCTTTTTCCAACTCACATCAGCACATAATTACCAACAATCTCATGCACATGTCTGATGAATAATTTGCATAAATGCAAGGAGTTGTCAGAAGAGTACTTATCATTTACCTGAATGGTGCTTAATTGCACATCACTGAGGCATGTAATCCCAATAGCCTCATCGTTAAATGCTGACAAATTCAACATCCCTAACCATGCAGGGCTTCGACTGGTGTATGCAACACACTTTGCTATCCATCCTCTCTGCCTGAAGCTAAACTGTTTTTCCACTATCGCCCACAATATCCTTCTCAACACAAACGAACAAATGCTTTTTCATTCAGTAAATTAAAACGCACTCATCTCCAGTGTTGGTGCTTTTTTTTTACCCTGAGCTTAGAGATGTGGCAGCGAGCTTCTCTGAACAGCAGAGAGACCATCAATAATGCACACACAGCTTGGTATAGCTCAAACTCACTCTGCTTCGATGGCTCACCAACCCAAAACCCAGCATCAAAGACCCGAGAGATGTGAGCATGTGTGTGTGCGTGAAGATCTGCGTGCTAGTGTGTGTGTGTGTGTGTGTGTGTGTGTGTGTGTGTGTGTGTGTGTGTGTGTGTGTGTGTGTGTGTGTGTGTGTGTGTGTGTGTGTGTGTGTGTGTGTGTGTGTGTGTGTGTGTGTGTGTGTGTGTGTGTGTGTGTGTGTGTGTGCACGTGCGTGAGTATTGCGAACACATGCCAGCAGGAGATTGTAAATCTGAGAGGAGACAGGCATTGAAAGCTTTGACTTTAAAACCCTTCTTAATGGGAAGAGGAGTGACTGTGTATTCTCTCTGAGCAAGCTACTTTCTGAAAGAGAAATACCTTTTTGTAACAAAAAATTAAAAAAGATCTGATCAAGATTAGGGCCAGGGACATGGAAACTGTGTGAATCTAATGTAAACATTTCAATCTTCAACGTTCAGTTCTTTATAAAGAAGAGAGAGGAGATAGGCTATGCTCTGCAGGTGCTGAAACAGCCGAGGTGACATACATCATTGCACATATTCTATCTCCTTTGATCTTTAGCACATCCCCTGTTCAATATTTGTGAACATTTTGCACACAGCTATGCAGCTCAGAACATTCAAAAAAAAATGTTACGGTTTGTTTTATTCTTCATGTTTGTTCTTGACTTTTTTAGTATTGGTACATTTTTGTTTTCACCAAAGACTAAGGTACAACAATCCTTGTCAGTGAAAACCTACAGTACCTGGAAAAAAACGTATTCTATTTCTAGGGCACCACTATCCATGCAGATAAACCCTCAGCCAGGTGCAGATTCCTAGATTTTGACTTGTAGAGTGTGACTATTGGTACAGCACATACAGAAAGGGCGTTGTCCTAGTGTCATCCAACAGTAGGAGGAGATTTTCTTCTTAACTGGTATTGCAGTAATAAGAGCTTGTCTCGTTGTGCACATACCTTTCCTTTGCATGTTAAACGCCAGCTAGCACTAATGTGAAGTTCTGCAAATCTCCAGAACTCTAACCACTGGTAATGGGACAGGTCGAACATGCCCTCAGTTAGAGGTGCTTTTAACTTTTTGTTCTACCAGAAATACACACAAATCAATCAAGTAATATACAAAAGAAGACTTGGTATAAACAATGGTCAACACATTTATTGTTAAACTAAACCATGCAGAGTGGCAGCCCTTGTCCCCCACCCAAAACCTGTAATTCATTACAACGGGTGCGTAATGAACAAGTTGTCTCACACATAATTTCGCCGAATAACAGAATCCCACAGGAAGGGTGGGGCGTTGTCACAACTTTTCTACCACACATTCCTCTCAACGAACTTTCCTCTCCTCACTGCGGACGCCTCAACTCACCTGCAGGAGACGGTGATTTCTACTTTGGTGGCGGGGATGTTGCCGGTGATCGGGTCGAAGTCGTACACCGAAGACATGTCATCTAATTTGTCCGTAACGTCTCCTTCCATCATCTCCATGGCCAGTGATCGTGGCGGCTCGGGTCTGATCCGCGAGCCGCACAGCTTGGCCCTGACGGAGCGCGTGGACTCTCCGGTGACTCCGGAGACCAGATCGGAGACCAGACGGCCTCCGGTCCGAGCGGGTGAGGCAGCCACTTCACAAATGTTGAGGCTGGAGAGGTGGGAGTACTGATTGAGTTGAAACACTCAAAAAAGCAGAGACGCACTTAACTGTCCGCATGCAGCGTAAATAAAATGTTGTTTTTTACGAGGGGCAGTATCTGAGATTACTGTTGCGCCCTCACTGAGCGGCTGCACATCACATGGAGAGGTGGACTCCTCTCTGCGCTTTGTCTTCAGTCAGTGCGCACAGCAGAGCGTGTGAAGAGAGAAGGCTAGATACTCTCAAACACACCCAGCCTCTTCCTCCTCCTCCCACACGGAATAACACTCAAGAGCTGGCAACCCTGCCCATGCCCCGGTGCTCCCGCTGCTCTGTGCTCTGACAATGAGTGTGAGCGAGAGTGTCATGATAATTTAATTACGCACTTATGCGTTTTTAATATTGAAGACTCTTTGGAGGTTTGGTGGGATAATGTATAGTGTAAAAACCGGTAAAAACCATTAAATAAAGATCAGCTTGTCATAACAGACACTTGCGAGACCCTGCTGTTAAAACTCCTGTGGTTGCAAAGCTGGTGATTGGGACCCCCCAACAGGTCGCAGGATAAGGGGTCTGGAGGTGGTTTATGCTAAATGAATATATTGATTCAGTTTATTTCTTAAAACTCAACTTGTATCCAGTATATATTTAGATATGATTTATCTCCTTAGCCAAGGGAGTAAAATACTATCCTCCAGTGGGCACAGCTTTGTTTCAATGGATGATTTTGGAAGGGATAAATATTTCAGCACCACAGCAATGGACAGCTCCATAAACCAGCTCAATAATAGAGAAAAGTAGCAGACATATCCAGACCCTGTTTTAGCTGTAATACTCACAGTAATAGCTTTCCAAACAATCCAAATTAATTTGGACTTCGGTCAAAATTGTAACTATTTATCCCATTGTATGGAATTCAGTATTTTTCTGTTGAGGATTGAGGCATGAGCTGGACATGTGGCAAAATGCAGATGCCAATTAAAATGTGTTCATGCTAGCTGGATTAAAATCAATATTAATTACAAATAGGAATTACATACAGATTTAATGGCCACCATCCATCATTAGTCTGTTGTATGCAGCTAAGACCTAAAGACCTGTAAACCACATTGCAGAGAATATGCTAAACTGGTGCAACTGCCTGCCAAAAAAGGGATGGGTTTGTAATTTCTGGATAACTAGAGTTCCTAAATGCGGAGTGTGTGTGTGTGTGTGTGTGTGTGTGTGTGTGTGTGTGTGTGTGTGTGTGTGTGTGTGTGTGTGTGTGTGTGTGTGTGTGTGTGTGTGTGTGTGTGTGTGTGTGTGTGTCTTCCTATCTCCACGGCGCCACTGTTTATCACACTTGTTCTGACACTCTTTCGCTCTCTCTTTTTCTCATGCATAGACCACTGACTTAGACACATATAAACACAAAGTGTCATGATTAACCAAACAACCTGTTTCCCACAGACTGCTGTTTGGATCTTGGAAAATTAAAGTTGTTTCTTCAGACATTTTATATCCTGTGGCATTGTACCTTCATGGTCAATTGATCTGTCACTCTCGAACCTTCTTACCAAGTTCTCACGTACACGTGTCACACACACACACACACACACACACACACACACACACACACACACACACACACATACACATTCTTAAATCGGTGCAGAAGCACAAAGCCCTTTTCTGCATAGAGCATCTGGATTCTGGACATCAATTGATACACAGAGACAGGACGCTTCTACCCACACAGCTCTCCAGCTTAGGATCAGGAACACACACACACACACACACACACACACACACACACAAACACACACACACAAACGAACGCACATGCACACTCACACTCAATCATTCCTTCAAAGGCACGCACTAATGTGCACATGTAAAGACAAATTATTTTCTCATATGTGTCTGAACGACCCTTAAACGGAGATAAAGAGGCACACACATCGACATACACACCCTTTTTTCTACGAGGATGATTCATGTATTTTAAGAGCTTGCTGTGAGTGTGGGTGAACACATTATCGCAGATGTTCCAAGGAGGGGGTTGGCAGAAGCAGGGCCAGAGGATAACAACAACAACATATAAACAAAAAAAGGAGGAAGACCTTCACAACAGCTATTTGCTCGAGTAGCAATCGCATTATGCACACTAACTGATTCCAGATACTACATTGAAATGCCTAGAACAAGATGCAACAATCTATTTCCATCCATTTATCTGCTTTGATCTTAAAGCGAAGGGGACTGTTGTTGAAATTGAATAATATTTCCTCCCCTGGATATTGATAAGAATCCTTCGAGTCATGTTTTCTTGTCGACCTGACTCATCTCTTTAGACAGTACATTTGTGTCATGGTTGTTCTACGATGTGGTAGAGTCATCAATCAAAGTAACATCTATCCTCGATGGTGTTCAAATCAATACTTTTCTATCCATCACAGTTAAACAAAGGTTTTGAGCCGTCTAACAATCAGATATCAGCAGTTTTTTTTCTGTGTAATTAAGCTGTAACAAATACCACAACCCTTGGGAAGGATTGGTGCTGCTAGTTCCTTAGAAACAAGTGATGTCTATTTCTGAATGTCTTGTTGAGTGATCAATAGCAAAGACGTGCAAAACACTGCATATCCCCTTTAAATACTATTGCCATCTCATTGCGGTGGACCAGGAGGTGGTCAATGCTTTGTAGTGCTGGTCACATTAATAACACCATGGGGGATTCAAATATCCCCTTTCCTCCTTCCCTATCTTGTGCTCGGTCTCCTGCAGTTTCCTAAGCACTAATAACTGTGTTTATGCTTACTTGCGTCATGCTGTCCAAAAATATCGCCTTTCTGGAAGCAATTATTCAGAAACAGACAAATGGCCTGTCAAGTAAGTGGAGCTCTTTACAATAAAATATGCCATTTTCCCCGATAACCAAAAGACATTTGTTTACGGTGTTAAATCGTCCGTTTTTTAACACTTTTTTCCAAAAGAAACACAAGCAATTATCTCTAATTATAGTATATTGTCTTAGATGCAGGAAGTGGTCAGCAAATACTATTTATTTAGTCAATCTGTTTGGTTTTCAGCCTGCCTCCAGCTAAGTAGCCTTTGTTAAACCTTATATTGTGGCTGCTGGAGGAGGTAGTGAAAACAAAGACAGGCAGTTTGCCGACTGCTGTGTAGAATAGTTTGTTGTATTTTATTTATTTTTAAAACAAACAGGGGGGGATTTCTCCTGAGTTACTGGCCAGATGAAGATGCAATACATTAATGCAGAGGTATTTCACAGACATACTGTAATGTAGTGGTGGTTCAAACTCTTTTTTCTTATCTTAAATAGCTCTGACCTGGCTTTAAGCTTATGTCAAATATTCAGCTGGTGTTGTCAGAGGAAATGTTAGAACTCATTAATGGAGCAAGGCAGGTTGAAGAAAAGGGAGTTCAACAAAAAAAGAATAAAAAGACTTGTTTTAATATTATAAACTGTTGAGGCTAAAGAACATAAAATGTCGAGGGAGCTTTTGCCTTGAACTTTGTCTAACCTTATACTGGTATATCACTTTGTCTAATAGAGTCAATCTTTGGAGCTTAATCCTCGTCTTCCCTGATGGGACACAAGGCTGTCTCCATGGAGACCTGTCTTGTGCTGTGCTTTGTCCCATGTTAGGTCTATCTCCTAACTCAGCCGTCACAGTTCATTGCCATTTTGATTTTGGCCCATCCAACTTTTTTTTACCACCATTATACAGTAGACCTTAGGGATTTGATTCCTTGCCATGTTGAAGGAATCTACTAGCCATTGAAATTGCTGGAGTTTGTCCTCCAGCACCAGGCTGTTGCTGAGATCTTCTCAGGCCAGAAGATGAGACAGATATTGAGAGGCATCCATTGTGCGAGGAATCAATCGTTTACACAAAACCACAGTGGTTTTACATTGCTGCTGCACAGTCACTCTTATCTTCTAGGCTGTACTGCTTCCAGATATATGATATACTGTATAGCCTGCAGCCTAGTATTGGCAAAACAAACCATGCTACGAAAAGTATATTTGTGCTGAAAGCTCTCCTTGCAAAAATAGTGTATCACTACCATCAGCATTTACTGCTCAGAGAGTGGTTAGCTCAAAGCATAGGAACATGCTTCGTTATCGAATAATTGCTTAAAGTTGTAACTATTACAGTAACACCAGTGTGTCTGTTTAACATCATTGACCTGATGATTAATGATTGAGCTGGATTAAATAAGAGAGCTGAGGCTTTGTCTTTCTCTCTGCTTGCTGTTGAAGAGAGTGGGTACCTTACTTGTACCCTGTAGAGAAGTAGAGGATTTGAAGAAGCCTAGTTCAAAAGGCCCACATGTTCCCTCCCAGTGTAATCCCCCTCTGTGTCCCCGCGGTTAAATCCAGAATCAAACCCCCCCTGAGGTGGGAAACATCACAGAGAAGCCTGTTATGAATGATTGCTCTGAGAACGACCAACAAAAAGACGGAAGGACCCATGGAATGAAACTCACTCTGGCGTACATACGGTATTTATGGAAGACCACAGCAGCCATAGGTGGCTGATTGACTGGCTAATGGCCCAGCGCTGCCTCAGGATGCAGCGGTGGGGTTTCAAAGAGCTGGATGTTATAACAGCTGCAGAACAATGATATTAAAAATAACCACTCTTTCCGGAGCAAATCTACAGTCAATACACGAGCACTCAAGCTAATTATGAACTTCTTGATTCAACACTTGCTGCTGCACTTGATCAGATGAGTACCTCCAAAGGTTGTAATGGTGCCGTACTGTAGTTCCTCTGATGTGGGGAAAGTTCACTGCTCAGCCTGGGAAACCCTGCTTTTTTTCAAACTGAGCATTCGTAGAGTTTTTTAACTCCAAATGAATACCAGACTGAGCAGCAAAGAACTCCCTACAGGCAACGTCTTCACTGGAGACTTTTAAGAAATCAAGAGCAAGCAATCTGCTAACTGACAGCCTAATGTCAGCACATTGCACCCTCACTCTCTGCTACTCTGCCTCTTATAGCCTTTACCGACTGTGGTTATATTCCTAACTATATCAAACAGAGTATCTTAAACAGAGTTTGCTAATAGATTTTAAAAGATGAACATATTTTAATTGTAAAATA